CAAAAGACACGCCAAAGCTCTTGCATGCGCATGGCTGCCATAAACAAAAACCTTACCTAAAACCCTAAACCCTAAACCCTAAACCCTAAACCCTAAACCCTAAACCCTAAACCCTAACCCCCACCCCCACCCTCCAAGCAGGAGCCCAGCGACGAGGCGAAGAAGCGCCTAGCGGCGGCGGCCGCCGCGGCTCGAGGTGCTTTTGTGGGTGTGGCTTGTGGCATAGGGTTTATAGGGTTCAGGGTTTATAGGGTTCAGGGTTATAGTGTTTATAGGGCTTATAGGGCTTATAATAGGGTTTATAGGGCGTAGTGTTTAGGGCTTGGGTTTTGGGGTTTGCTTGGCAGGGCTTAGAGGTTTTAGCGTTGATAGGGTGTAAGGTTTAGAGCTTAGTCGGATCCCTCAGGGCCCTGAGGGTACACCTGGCGAGCCCGAAGCCCCTAAACCGTAATCCCTAAACCCTAATCCCTAAACCCTAAACCCTAAACCCCTAAACCCCTAAACCCCTAAACCCCGAAACCCCTAAACCCCTGAACCGACCCTAAACCCCAGGCTTCGCAGCACGGGCGGCTCAGGCGAGCGACTCCGAGAGCGATTCGGCCGGGTGACCTGGATTTAAGGCTTAGGGGGGTTTAGGGTTTAGGGCTTGGGGCTTTGGGCTTAGGGTTTCGGGTTTAGTGTTTAGGGTTGATGCTTTCTGCTTTTGCTTGGTGGCCCAGTGGTACCCTTTTCCCGGTTTTTTGTTCAAGGTTCCCTTATGAAGAGCCAACCCAGAAAAGGGTACCCTTATAATACGAGCAGTAATAGTAATATGGCTACCGGCTACAAAGTTTCTAAACCAGGGCGTGTTGTCTCAGTAGGTTTCGGGCTTGAGGCTTTCGGGTGGTAAAGGCTCGGGGATCTAATTCGAAGCCTTGACAGGGTTTCTTGAACTTCACTTGGGGTGTGCCGCTTAAGCACCTCTTGTTTGAGTGATCCGTGCAAGGGGGATCTATATGCCCCTCAGGCAATCCAAACACTGCGGCACTGTTTACCTCCTATGCCTAGAATGCTGCAGCCGAACACTTTGTTCCCAAATCCCAGACAGTCAGAATTTCAAGTTGGCGCACCTCGGAAAGGGTCAGCTTTGTGGTAGCAGTGTAGGAATATGTTCAGGCCCTGGGCTCTTCATGCGACAGCTTCCAATCCACTCGGGGGGCTCGCTTCTGTGCTCCTACTGCTCCCCTTGTGTTGTTTTGTCCTTGCAACGCCCTCAGAAGTCGGGTGTGAGCAGGCAAGGGCCTTGATTTTGACAGGGTAGTTTAGACGGCGGTTGAGGCTTCGGGACTCATCAAGCTGTGCAGACTGACACTAGCACACGCTGTACAGGGAAACGATTCAAAGTGCTGTTTTTCAGCTTGGAAGGAGAAATCCCAATGGTATCTCGCCAGGACTCCTACAGCCAGAGCTCGGATGAGGAGGCTACTCAGGGTTTAGGGTTTAGGGTTTAGGAGGGTTTAGGGGTTTAGGGTTAAGGGTTTAGGGTTTAGGGGCGCGGGTGGTTGGGGTTGAAGCTGGCAGGGGTGGGGGTGTGGTGACGCGTTCTTCGTTCAGGGTTGTGTTGCCTTGCTGTTGTGGGTCCTTTCCCCAAGTTCTTGACAGCATGTGCCGTTATCGGATGCCATTGGTCTACACGCAGGGCATTGTATACTGCCATATGCGGCCTGGAGAGGGGGGCTTTACTTATCGGAGAGCTCCTGGCTCAACTATCCTTGAGTTGGCGGGGGGGGGGGGGGCGAGAGAGTAAGGGTGGACTTCCTGCATTCCACACCTCAATATGTCCTACCGCCGGGACCCCCATGGAAAGTTTTTACCTATACTGAGCACTGTCTTTACGTCAGCCATTCTTTTGAGGGTTGATACCCTTGCTGCCATCGCCCCTACACCACTGAAACCTATGAGCCTTAAACCCTACAGACCTCAAAGTCCCTACGCCCAGACCCCTACACCCCGAAGCCCAAAACCCCAAACCCTAAACCCTAAACCCCAAACCCCAAACCCCAAACCCTAAACCCTACCCAGCAAGGAGGATGCGGAGGAGCCAGGCACGTCACAGGGGGGGGGGGCTCTTGGGTTGCTGGGTTCCTGTGGCGTCCCACACTCAGGAGTCGTGGGAGTTTGTCTTCTGGAAGGTTAGCAATGCAAGATGTTTGGGTTTAGGGTTTAGGGTTTAGGGTTTAGGGTTTAGGGTTTAGGGTTTAGGGTTTAGGGTTTAGGGTTTAGGGTTTAGGGTTTAGGGTTTAGGGTTCGAAGCCCAAGATGCAGGAGTGAGCAAGCTGAAAAGGCAGCCGGAGCAGCTTCAGTCTGCAGTGGAGGTAAGACCAAACTAAAACCCATTCTTGACGGAATATTTGGAGGTCCTAAGACTGCAATATTAAACCCTTGAACCCTATTCCCGAGGATTTGTGGATGTTCACTGACCTCACTTGTTTAACTTGTTTAGAGGCGCCGTTCAGAATGGCCCAGCGCCGGGAGCTTGATAGCGAAAGCTTGCGGATCGGGCTGACGGTGTACGGAGGATCTAGGGTGTCTGGGATTATAAGTTTGGTCAGTAGCGAAAAACCGGTCTCTCGCGAATACATTACCCCCCCGCCCCCCCTTTTCGGCCCCCGCAGGAAGATTACTGAGACCTTCCAATCAGGGAGCCTGCTGTCGTGTGCTTTATGGGGATCAAATTAGGGGTTTAGGGTTTAGGGTGCAAGGCTGAGGGTATCGGAACTAAACGCAGACATATGGGGCACAAGGCATTGAAACCTGCTGAGCGCTCAACAAGCGAAGGCAACAGCCAAGGGCAAGATCTCAGACCCCGACTTCTACTCTGCTGAACGACAAACCTATACCCCACCCCTCCAAAGCCCCAGCGAGTAAACGCTTAAAAACCCGAACCCCCTAAACCCTAAGGCCTTAACTTCACAAATCTTACACATGCTTATGACCCTAAACCCTAAACCCTAAACCCTAAACCCTAAACCCTAAACCCTAAACCCTAAACCCTAAACCCTAAACCCTAAACCCTAAACCCTAAACCCTACACGTCTAAGGCAACCCCGGGGGGAGCGCTCTGTCCGGGATTCCTTGATTGGCCCGGAGCTTGGCATCGGTTGACTTCAGGGTCTGGGCTGCTTTTTAGTGTGGGGTTTAGGGTTTAGGGTTTAGGGGTTTAGGCTAAAGGGGTTTAGGGTTTAGGGTTTGGGGTTTAGGGCTTAGGGTTTAGGGTTTAGGGTTTAGGGTTTTGAGCGCAAGGGCCTTATTCCAGGAACGGCCAAAGGAGAAGCGTGATCGCGCAAGTTTGGCAAACCTAGCGGGCTCCCTCCAGCCTCAGTCTATTTGAGCCCTGAACCCTACCACCACCAAAAACCACCACGACCACCACCGCCACCGCCACCGCCACCGCCACCACCGCCACCCCCACCACCACCACCACCACCACCACCACCACCACCACCACCACCACCCACTACCCAGCCCGAGGCGAAATTTTCCAGGACCTGCAAGACTTCAGCGGCACACCGGGCCGCGCCACAATGAAGGCCGAGATCAGAGCTCCTTTAAGAGATCAAAGTCGACTAGTGGCACTACGGGACTTTCTCGCATTTCGGGGCTTGGGATATTGCTAGAGATTGCTTGCTCAAGCGCCTGGGCCCAAATCAATCCCAAGGACTTCAGGGTTTAGGATGCTTAGGGCTTAGGGTTCGCTCCCTGTTTTGCGAGACACGTCGCTCAGAATGCCGTGAAATGAGCCAACTACCAAGCCCTGATCCTTGAAACCAGCTATGCTAGCCTGCAGCCTCTGTGGGTCCTCAGATGTAACTGCAATGGAGGAACTGCAACAGGGCATCTGCAAACTGCCATGAAGGTGTTGTAGGGTTTACGGGAGCATTGGCTTTCGAGCACGACCCCCCTGGATGTCTCCGAACAGCTAGCTGTCCACATCAACGCCTGCAACGTATAGAGTCTCTTCTCTACGCTAGGTTCACTCTACTCAAACGAAACCCATGATTCAGAGAACTGCCCATAAGCATGTACCAATCCTGAATGCTCCAAACTCTCCCGCACCAGGAACCGTAAGCTCAACTCCTAAGAACCTGAACCTACATACTTTCTGGAGGCCGGCGAAGGATCTTACTAGCATGGGCTACAGTATTAGGCAACACCCGCAAGGGTGTGTCTTTAAATGTATATATATATATACATGTATATACTTCTTATGTACGTTTGGACGTCTACTCGATTTGTAAGAACAAGAACAGTAGCATGATCGTGCTAAGCCAACGCACAAGCAACCCTGAAGCTTTCTGGCAGGCGATGCAACGCTTCGTTACCATGGCCTGGCTCCTGGAAGGGTGACGTCATGGTTGCGGGGGTGGATTGTCTTTGCAATGTAGCGGGGTAGAGAGCATCAAGTAGAGGAGGCTTTCGGAAGGAACCCAAAAACTCAAGCAGCTTGCATTCCGGAATGGGTTCCAGGCTTTCCTACAGCTGACCTTGTCCACTTGACAGAAGGGAAAGGGTTTATTAGGGTTTAGGCTCAGAGCTACACTTCAGCCAGTCCAGGATTGAGGATTCAGAGAGAAGGTTGGATGAGAGCAGCTGAGCTGTGAATACTTGCATGTGAAGGCGTTGCAGAGCAGCGTGTTCGTGTGGCAACTGCCTATTGTGCCCATAGCGGATGTAATAGTTTCAGAGGGTCATGCTTGAGAATAAGGACGACTTGCTTTGCCTTGCATTTTGCTCTCTCAGCCTCCAGAATGTGCTTGCAGCGAGCGGGGTGCATCTCTCCAAACAGCTTCATCCTTCAAAAGACATCGGTTCAAAACTGCCATGTGCGCATTCCATGGAACTGCGCGGAACTCCTTCCGCCGTATTTGGGCTTAGTTTGTTGGGGTTCTAAAGAGCACTTCGTGGACATACCACACAGGCAAAAGAGTTCTGAGCAATCGCCACATGCACAGGGCTGAGGCATGCGAGCATTGTCCATCCTTTTCGGATGGGCTCTCTGGGAGCCAGCCCGCACGGATGTCTTCACGCACAAAGAGCCAGGGTTGCATTAGGCAGGCTCTGTTCTTTCCTTCATGTCTTTCGCAATTTTGCAGGAGACCACCGCAGCCTTCATGAAGCATCTCACGTAGGCACAGGCGCAAAATGAGTTGCACTTCTTCATCGCATGCTATGGCCCCAGGAGAATATGGGCTTGCAAGATGGGCGCCACAACCGGCTCCCATGTGCCAGTGCACCGCGTATTACAAGCTGGGAGGATGCGGAAGTCTTTAAGATCAACCACGAGCCATACACGAACACGCCGATCGGATGATGTCTTTCCCATGCATAGATATTTCTCCAACTTTGTGTGTGGTGTGTTTCCTTTGGGTTTAGGGTTTAAGGGTGTAGGGTTTAGGGTTTAGGGTTTAGGGTTTAGGGCACACCCAGGAAGAAGGTGTTCCTGCGGAAGGGTGAAGTCCCGCCATTGACCCAAATCAGCGTGGCCGATTTTCTGGAAGGGACCTATTTCGAGGATCATGACCACGAGGACATGTTCGAGATGTTCTATGTGCTGTCAGGCGCGGCCCAACACGACTCTCGAAAACCCGAAACCCTAAACCCTAAACCCTAAGTTCCTTCATAAGACCGACAGGAGCTGGCTGCTTTGCCACTACCGAGCGGGATGCCACGTCCGGGCGGTGGAGTCGTTCCGAGGCGCCATGGGATCCGACGTAGTTTGAATATGGCTTAGGACCAGGTTTTTAGGGCCCTAATTCCTACCAAGAACCAGGGGAGAGTAGGACCAGGATTTGCTCCGGGAGTTTTGGAGTTTAGGATATATGTTTTTGTTGTTGCTTCTTACTTGTTTGTTTATTTCTATCTGTATTTATATAGTTTTACATGGTTTAGGACCCTGTTTATAAGCCCTAAACACTCAACCTAAGCTGAAGCCAAGGTTGCTGCTGAGCCTGGCTTGCTTCTGCATCTACCACCGGGAGTGCAGAATCTCAGCGCACAGCTCTGGGTTTACGTACTAGTAGGGTTTAGGGTTTAGGGTTTAGGCTACTAGTAGGGTTCAGAGGGCGGGTTGCGCAGTTATCTACTTTCAACAGGGAGAGTTTAGGGATTCGGGCTTGCAGCGGTTGAGGCAACGATTTCTTTGGCTTCTTGGGCTTGGCTGGGCGCCGGACTTCAACCCTGAGCCCTGGATCCCACTCTCAGGCATGCGGGCCTCACTGACACTGGCTTTCGCTTTCTCATGCTTGGAGCCGCCACCCAGGTCGGGGGGCTTCTGGGAGGGGCCCCTGGAGTGGGGTTTTTCTTTGTCATAGCGGGGTAACATTTTACATTCTTAAGGGCACTTCAACTCAATAAGGAATAGAAATTAGAAGACAATTCCCAACCATGAACTAGTTTTTGGGAATGTTCTCATCGGCTCGCCCTGTAAGAGTTTGGGGGCCGCTGGCTTGCATGTAGGTGTTATGCCTGCGCAACAGAGCCGAGGGCTTTGCAGTATATATATATATATATGTATATACATACATGTGCACATGTGTTGTGTTATTCCCCGCCCTGGGTGTGGTATTGTTAGATGTTGTGCTCCTCGCCTCCTTCCGGGGCCTGATCCCTTCAGGGCGCACCCCCAAAAAAAGCCCATCGAGAGTCCCGACGAGTATCCTTGGAGTGCACACGCCCCCCCCCCCAGGACGGAGAGTGCTCAGATTGAGTGCCCACGCCCAGAGAATCCCGCAAGAGAGCTGAGTATATCACTGGAGTGCCCACCTTCGGCAATAGCCTGTGTTCCCACGTCAGGTAGCTGCAGCGTGGAGATGATCGGAGTAGATATGTCTTTTGTATATGCATATGGGTATGCATATGTATATATGTATAGAGATACACACACTTTTATATAGATATATCCTTGACTTGAGCCAGCGGCGACTTGACGAGGATGAGGCTTGCACCAAAACTGCACTCATCACCTCCGGCACGTCAAACACCTGCCGCCCTGCAGCTGTGGATCCTGGGGCTAAGGGGGCTTGAGGGCTCCTTGTGAGGATGCTGTGCTTGGGCTTTCAAGGTTCGGGCTGATTCGGGTGCTGACTTGGGTAAGAATGGACAAAACAAGTAAATATGTGGTAAGATAGCGATGGGGGATTGCCTTCCTCGAGGTTTAAGCAGTTTTGGGCCGCCTGTGAGCTGTGGGTTCGCTCTTGTGGGGGGTGGTGGGTGGCTGGGTGGGGGGTGGGGGGGAACACAAAAATATGGGTCCGTTGGTTGCAATTTTAGTTTTTTGTCATAGTAAATTCCCAATAAGGAATAAAAATGAGAATTTAAAACATAACCCCAACAATGTAGCAGAAAAGGGCTTAGGGTTCATCAGTGGGTCTTGGCCATGGCACGTGCAGTTGAGGCAAGGCCACTACTCAGTTCAAGCAGCTGCAGGCATCGAACAAGGCCGAGGGAGTGTGTGTCCGAGGAGTCGGGCAGCGTGGGCAGTGTAGCCCTGTATGGTCTGGGCTTCTGGGATTTTTCGGGCTTCTGTGGTCCGCGGTGGTACGGGAAGTTTGCGGGATGCTTGTAAGTCTGCCTCAGGATTCTCGGGCTGCATGATACGTCGCCTCAATCTTGCTCTGCCTTTGTTCGTTGTTGGGCTGATAGCAGGCACGTCAACCCGGGATTCTTGCCTCAGTAGATGAAACCAAGCAGCTGGAGATCAGAAGTGCCGCACATCGCGCTCGTCCTTTGCACAGAGAGCGTGCAGGAAACAAAGCCAGCTGGGATCGTAGCTAAACCCAATTTGAGAACGACACGGCCCCGATGGCTGCACTACTTCTTCTAGACTTGTTTAAAGACCCTGATTAGCGTGCAGTTCCCAAACCCTGCAAGGCGCAACGCGCACCCCGGAAGCACTTAAATCATTGAGCCTTGCGATTCCTGAGGCCCTATAAAGCTTAAGCCTCGCCTTAAAACCCTCACCGCACGCCAGACCATCGCAGATTCGAGTGGATCTGACGTCCGGCAAAGGCCTCTCCTTACCTCAGGCGGGCTCTGATCCTAAACCGTCAGAGCCTACAGACTGCGAGCGAACGAGGGAGCGGGACCAGCCATGTAAACTGCTGCGCCATATCACCCTACGACAGATGGCTAGACTCAACAACGCAGAGGCTTGTAGGCTGAAAGGGCGGGCTCTTGACAAAAACGTTGCAGGTGTTCCAGGTTTTGGCGAGCCGGCGCTAGGGCCAGAAGGTTCAGATAGCAGACATGAAGCTTGCAAACTGGCCCGATGTCCCCTAGCCCTAAACTCTCGGGGACTGAACCCCGAACTTTCGGGCCCACCCATACCTATCCACGTTAAGGGTACACTCAAACCGCAACTGGGACAGACCCGTGGGTTCTACAGAAGCTCTGCTTGGGCAACTCTTAAGCTGTTAAGAGGCCCCAAAAAACACTAAACCCCTAAACCCCTAAACCCCTAAACCCCTAAACCCCTAAACCCCTAAACCCCTAAACCCCTAAACCCTAAACCCTTAACCCCTAAACCCTAAACCCTAACGGTTGAAGTCCCCAAAACTTAGATATCGCCCGAAGGTTCGAAACCTTAAATCGGCCCGCGAAAGCCTGCCAGGCGAGCTCCCGAGCGTTCTGGACCTCTCTTGGCTGCAGCTGCCCCCAAGGCCGCTTAACGCCCCCTTAGGAGTTTAGGGTTTTTGGGGTTTTGGGGGTTTTTAGGGTTTTTAGGGCTTTTAGGGCTTTTAGGCCTTTTAGGGTTTAAGAGTCTTAAGGTGTGTTGTTCACGTTCACGTCAAGCCCCGCAGCGCATGAATCTTGCCATGTCGCATGGTCGTTAGGAATTTCTGGTTCGGAGGGGAGTAGCGAGGCGGCTCTTCATCGCCACTCCGCCGGGATCCGCTGCGGATGTGCAGGTGACCCAGGCGCGGGAACCCACGATGTTTTTTTGTAGGTGTCTCAAGCCTCTCATCAGGGATTTTGAAATGCAAGACTGCAAAGAAGTAGGTGGTGGGCTCTTATGTGGGTGCAGGATCTAGCCGTGAATGGGATCAGGAGTGGATCAGGGCAGAGAGTTTGCCGGAATGATGCCAGAAGCCTTGGGCGCAAGACTCAAATTCAACACAGTAGCTCTCGAACGTGAAGTGCCTGGCTAGTATGTTCAAACTAACGGAAGATGAATGACTTGTCACATGGAGGCGCATTCAACCCTAAGCCCCCCAACCACACCGGCAGCGGGGAGGGGGGGGTGGGGTGGGGTGGACCCTAAACTCTAAACCCTAACCCCAACCCCCAACCACATCACAGGGAGGTGACGAGGTGACAACGCCACATCATATGTGTATTTATTCGCGAACACAACACTCACTCACTCACTCACTCACTCACTCACTCACTCACTCACTCACTCACTCACACCCACACCCACACCCACACTCACACTCACACTCACACTGACACTCACACTCACACACCTACACCTACACCTACACCGGAAGTTCCAAGCCCCAAAGCCGAAGTGTTGAGTTAAGGTTAGGTGTGAACCTCTTGCGGAGGCCTTCTATGTGTTGAACGGCTCTGGCAAGGTCGCCGGCTCCACGTTGGAAGGACCTCCCCGACTTCATGCCAAACATCCGAAGACCGAAGTCCCTGCAGCGTGAGTGTGAGGGACAGGGTCTACTTAGAGGTTATAACCCCCTGAGTGCCCTAATATGCAGATATAAGTACAGTTCTAATTGGTTAAGAAGTACCATGAACCTCCAAGTAGGTCCAGGGTGGTGGCAGGGCCTTTACATTGAGTGCCCTGAGCCTATGAAAGGTTTAGAGTTTCAGGGCTTCCTTCACCTCATTCTCAACTCCGGCTTCATTCAGGGCTTTTAAGACACTTTAGGGCTTTAGGGCCACGCTTCCCAAACGCAGGACCCAAACCCCACCTAAGGCTATAAGGACCATGCACCCAGCCTTGAGGACGCCTGGAGCGAAACTCCTTTCTGCTGCTGCCACCTGGGCATGCAGACGTTGAGATCACTGCGGAGATTGCTGGACTAGAGCTGCTCTGTGGATGCATTTTCGGGCGGGGAAACGTTTCAATTCTGGACCTTCCGGCGCAACATTGTTCATCGAGTCTCTTTTTTTTTTGGAGGGGGGGGGGGGGGCGGGGCGAGCGGGAGCTGCAGTTGCTCTAAATTGGGATAGGCATGCCGCTCCTGGATGAAGGGGAAAGGTGGCCTTTTTGAATGGTTCGTATGACCACCACGCAGTCATGTGTGTACTTCCATGCACTATCGCCTTTACCAAGCTGACCCTACACCCTACACCCTACACCCTACACCCTAAACCCTAAACCCTAAACCCTAAACCCTAAACCCTATAAACCCTAAACCCTATAAACCCTATAAACCCTAAACCCTAAACCTGCTTTTTTCAGGTTATTTCTGCTTTGCAGAGACTCACCCTAAGACGACGCGTCACGGGAGTGAGTTGCAGGGTTTAGGGTGTGCCGCCATTGACCCGGAGCCTGTGCGAGTCGAGGGTGTAGGGCTTATAGGGTTTATAGGGTTCATAGGGTTTATAGGGTTTATAGGGTTTATAGGGTTTATAGGGTTTATAGGGTTTATAGGGCTTATAGGGCTTATAGGGTTTAGGGTTTAGGGCTTAGCGTGCCCATGGGCTCCCACACGTCTCAGGTTGCGCTTCGTCGTGGAGCTTGCAGAGGGAAGTTGCCAGCTCCCAGCACACGACGAGCTTTGAGGGCAACCGGCCGACAGAAAACGGAGCGCAGCGAATATCTGCACCCTAAACCCTGATCCCTAGACCTAAACCTAAACCCTAAACCCTGAAACCCTTAACATCAACCCAAGTCCTGCGCAGCCCGACTCCTCTCCCGAAATATCCCGAAATCAGCCCTTCTGGGTAGTAGCAAGTTGCGTAGAGGCCTAAACACTTAGATTTGGGCT